AGACAGCACAGACAATTTCTCTCCAAGTATCTGCCTTCTTCTAAGTCTTTTTCTTTTCTTGTCTTTTCTTTTCTTTTCTTTTCTTTTCTTTTCTTTTCTTTTCTTTTCTTTTCTTTTCTTTTCTTTTCTTTTCTTTTCTTTTCTTTTCTTTTCTTTTCTTTTCTTTTCTTTTCTTTTCTTTTCTCCACTTTGCTCTTTCAAATAGAACTTACCTTGTATTATTTGAAAGAATCCATGCACCTCTGCTATTGTGAACGATGTCTGTATCAAGCATTGCATTACTAATAATTTGCTTTGATTATTTATATCATCTAAAGCAATAGCAATTGAGATTCTTTTACTACTTGGCTATATACCTCTCAGTACAGTAGTTGGCCTGCAAAAGTTAGTATTTCTTTGATTTTGGTATGTAACTATCAGTTTTGAGAAAGGTTGTGAAAGGAAAAAGAAATTCTGCAGAGGAATATTTTTGTTTGTGTACAGTAGCTCTTCTGAAGCATAATATTTTTCAGTGCTGTTTTCTGAAAGGAAGTGTGCTCTCCTCTGGGATATCAGCCTGGAAGAGGTTCATTTTATCTTGGAAAAATGTAGTTTATGTAAGATGTAGCAAGAATATATAATTAAAAATGAGGTTGTTTTCAAGACTTGTGCTAAAAATCATTGAGAAGGGATATGATGTGCTATATCCCACAGTATGTGTAAAGAGAATTCATTCTCACTCTTTGCCACTTTTTTACCCCATGATTTAAAAAGTTGCCTCTGGTCAAGCAGATACTAAGAGTCAGAAAAAAAGCAAACTATAGATGGTGTCCTTCAAATGGGCATGGCAGGGTAAGGGTGCTGGAAGTAGGAGTAAAGGACAGCACTGGCAGCCTTACACTGACATGCCAGGAGTCACTGTATGAAGTTTGGTGATGGGATTGCTGGAGTGCCAGAAATCAGAACAGCTGCTCACAGGCCTGCCCCTCACTTACAAGCTGCTTTCTCCATCCCTCTGTTGATCTGAGGATATCACCTTTCAAAAAGATTCTGTGTATTTTCATTCATTTCACTGACTAGACTTGTATTTCAAAACATGGTTGTATTTCTTTGCTGAGAATGCCATTTATGAATGAGTAATATTTCCATATTTGTGCAGTTCAGGAACCCAAAGAATGTCATTCCTCCTGTCATGGCAGGCTATGGAAATCTATCAAGGCCCAGTATTTGGAACTGAATAGCTAACCTGACACTCCTTGATGATCGTTTATCTGTGACTGATCTAGAGAAAGCTAGACATTTGGGGCCAGGGTGAGGAAATTTATGTGATTAAATTATATTTAGTCTAGAAAGAAATATGTAGAATTTATACTTAAGATTATCCTATCTCAGTGTTACAGATCGTAACTTTAGATTAATTAATATTACACTGTTTTCTCTTAGGTGAGCTATTTTAACTCTGTAGAACTTCTGTAATGGCACAGTTCCATGGGAAGTTTGCAGCTAAGCCTCATCCTGAATTCAATTTAGAGGAGTTTGCATGGGCAAGGTTTATAGATCTTACTGAAGAAGCAACCACAAATCATCCATTTCCAAGCCTGAAAGCCAGTGCTGAGGCATTTAGAGCTGCTGCTGCTGTAGCTCATAAATTGCAAACCATGGCATACGAACCGTGCTGTTTGTAGGAGCTGGAGTAGAGCATGCATGGTCCACTGAATACATTTTATAAATCCTGGACTTCAAATCTTTTTTGTCACTAGAAGACTGTAAAAGTTTCAGCAAAACTCTCTGTTTACTTAACTGGTATGCAAGTTACTACATTTCTGGTGTACTTGAAGAAACCAGCCCTCTGGCATTTTATTGCAAGGTACAGAATTCCAGCCTTTAGAATAACAAGGCATTGAATGCAAGTTATCCCTTTTTTGTTTCATGAAATTGAACAGTGCTCTTCCCATAATTGATTCTTACCTGATTCATCCAACTGTGATACAGGATACTGAACAGCAGACAAAGTTTGATACCAAACGAAATAATGTAGTTGTATTAGGTGGCAATGGTTTGAAGTTCAAACCATGGGCTTAGTGTGGTTTGTGATGTATGACTGGTTTTGGGTTATTGTGGGTCTTTGGGTTTTTGTTTGGGGTTTTTGTTTTGTTTTTAAATTCTGTCCAAGATATATATTCCCATGCATATATAACCTTTATTATAAAGTACTCAAGTCTTAATGCGTATAGAGTAGAATAAACCAGGATTGCTTACTAATTACTCAGAGTCCAAATTCCTTAGCCATTTACTTTTGCTCTAGCGAATGGGAAAGCATATTAATTGTTTTTGTTGTGAAGTAGATGTGGGATCTGACAGTTTACCCTTATTTGCAGATGGGCGTCAGCAGGTTCTTGATTCTGTTTCCATTTGGATTCACAAAGAACCTTTTATTTTAGAAAAGAGAGCCTTTGCTTACCTTGACTCCCATGGGAGACCCTGGGTGGAAGAAACTGCTAAGCATTCGTATTCTCCCACTTGTTTCAAGGAGAGGTGAATTTGTATTCTCTTGAAGAAATCTTGGCTCTTACAGGAGGGGTATCAGGAAGTATTGTCTCATTTGAACCTCTTCCTTCTGTGGAGTGACACAGGAGGCCTAGGTTTTGGCTCCTGTGAATCTCTTGGGTGATCTATAATCCCTTTTGTGGTGGCAAAAATGCCCTTTCTCAATAGTATGTTTGGGCAGAAATTCAGCAATGTGGCTCTGACAAAGACTTCCTTCTATTTAATAATCCTGTGAGAAGAGAGAATGGGATGGAATATAATTTAGCTACCTAAAAATGTCAAGTTATATTTAGGAAATTCAAAATTCCACTATGGAAGAGGCTTCCCTCCCTCCCCCCACCAACCTTGAAGAAGTGATTAACTGAGGGTGCCTCTCAGCATGGAGACTGCTTGCTGCTATTGTCTCCTGCAGAAACAATTCTTTGCTGCTAACTGGTTTAACTGTATCATGTCCTTGAACATGTTTTCTTCTAACCACCTTTCAGTATTTGAGGACTGTTCCATAGTGTATTTAACAACACACAGAAAAATGTGACAATAGTACTCTTTTCCGGACCAGTTTTTGTTCTTTCCATCTGTCAAACGTTTGGGTTTTCTTTTTTCCCCTAGTGCTACTGCAGCAAAAATGCCTGCCTTTTGTTTATGTCTTCCTCCATGAGCATCGTGACATCATCAGTGGTATTGCCAGGGGAAAAAAATATGCATAGCTGTAGCTAAACCAGCTGTCCGTTAGCAATCCTTGTCGTCTGCTTTCATTTCTTGTCATTAATGTACACACAGTAGTGTTTCCTGCCTAAGAGACATGGAAGGTTCTCAGCCACAAAAACATCTGCTCAGTCCGTGTCTTTGGGTAGATGAAAATGGTGGCACTTCAAAATACACTCACTCTTAATAATGGCATTTTTTAAAAACTGAAGTGAATGTGAGAGCGTAGAAGATACTCATTACTGGATTTAGTTGTAAGTAATTCTGAATCCTTTATTAACCATCTTGTGTAATTCAGTGTAATCACAGCCACTGCATATCAACTGTTACAAAACCTTAATAATACAAACCGAGCAAGATGCCAAGAACAATAAAGAAACGAATTTTGTCATTGATTTGCATGATGACACGGTAAGGCGAATGAATCTGTTAGTCATGCTTGTCCCTTCTTCCATGCAAATCAGCAGCAAAACTTCCACTGACTTTGATAGGACCAGAATAATGCCAACCATGAGCTACAAGCTGTCATTTATTCTAATGAGAGAGATCTTAAATGGAATAAGGAGGTATTTCATTTGTGGAATGTTAACGAGAAAACAGTTTCTTTTGCTATCTCATGTTATCAAAATGCTCTGAATTATTCCAGAGATAATTGACTGTTTTGTAGAATAGCTGCATCTTTGCAATGTTAATATTATGGATAATTGTGTGTTCGGTATGAGTTTTCAGAGTGGAGGAGAGATGTTCATTTATCATCTCTAGCTGTTTGTAGAAAGCTATCTTTAAATTAGAGTATTCAGGGAATTCACTCTGCAGTAGGAATCAAGCTATCTCCAAATACTCTAGCATGGAACCCTGATACTGATAATGGATCAGTGAAAAAAATAATTAATGTTTACCTTTTACTGTAAGGGCTTTTGTAATTTGAATTTAGATATTCACTTATTCTAATATGAAATAATCAGTAGATATTAAGTTAAGTATTATAATATTTTATTTAAATTTATATTATTTTGTTTAAAATAAACAAGAAAACCCAAGGCAACCAACCAAATGCACACACACACACACAAAAACAAACCCCAGAGCATCACCAACTACTACCAAGAAGAGATTAGACTTCATTGTATTACATAATTTGTCATTTGGATTTGAGAGTAATCCCTGCTCAAATGGCCAATTCCTACTCACCTGAGTAGCCTCACTGAAGCCAGCAAAACTCATTTTATGACCAAAGATTACAGGATAATGCCCTTGACTGATGAGACAAATTTAAATTAAGGGGCTATTTTTTAGGTACACTTTTTCATTTGGAAGCTCATCCTCCACATAAAAGATAAACATTGGCAGATTAAGTGTTGGCAAAATATTACCTCTTTAGAATATTAATTTCAGTGTGTACTGTGTGCAGAGCGATGCAGACAATGCATGGCTTGTGCCACTCCCCACAAGAAAAAATTACTTTCAACAAATCTCTTCGATTTTTTCTTGTACCAATGTTACAGTGGCAATGATAATAATAATTTAAAAAAAAAAAAAAAGTTGAGGGGATTTCCATAACAACTGCTGTCTTAATGAACTAAAGAAGCCTTAGAATTTGTTATTCCTTCCTCATAGTAGACCTCAGCTGATAAAAATATCCGTAGCTGGTGAAATCTGTGGCATGCCTGGCTTTCTCAGACAAAACTCCCATGTGATCACACAGGCAGCCTCAGTGAGCCTGAAGCTGCTCAGCAAGCAGTAGGTAATGAGTCTTTGTGCAGAGTGAAGCTCTTGTGGCTGAACAATAAAGCATATGGTACCAACAATAAAACACAGTGCTGGGAAATTTAAGAAGATTCTGCTGGAAGTGGGAAGACAGTGAATATGTCAAACGTTATAAAATGACGATCAATCTGGTTTGGGTCCTAATTAATAAAAACAGTGCATGGATTGGAAAAACAACAATTTGAACAGGTCAGTTGTTTTATAGATTCTTCACACACTTCAGTGTTTTAAATATAAGTGGGGTTTTTGCTATTTCTTTATTGTTAATAAAGCTGGGTTTTTTTCATTTTGTAAGGTGGGATTGGAAGGATGCACATCAGTGTGATACCAAACTAAATAAATTGTGTAAGTTCTGTGATCAAATTAATTGTAAAAATGTTTTTACCATTATTCCCGTGCAATTCAAACTTCAATTGTGCATGAAAAATGAGATAGGAAGTAAAATTAAATTTATGCTAGATGGATCATTTACCAATATCATGAAATATTTAGTAACAACAATCTATTACTCTGCTATGTATTTGAGACTAATTCTTTCTCAGTAGGAGATCTGTAGTGTTGTGTTTGGTTAAAAATAATGTAACATTGGAGCATATCTTAACAGTGCACTTACATGGGGTTTTTTCCTCCACATTCTTCTCGGAAATTTTTGGAAGTGGTGTTTTGTGTTATTTTTAATGCAATTGTATACACATGGGAGTGATACATGATAACCCTCTGCATGCATTTCATTCTACTGTTAATGCAAAATATGTTATTATTTTTCGAGCAAGTAATTATTTCTTATGGTAGTTCTTAGTTAATTATACATTATTATTTTATTTTTTGAAAACTACTCCCAAAGATTCCTGTGGCCTGTGTTTGCCTTACTGAGGATAGAAGCGCAAATTCCCGGTGGTTTCACATCATGTAGAAATTAACCATGTAAAAGTTTTAATCCTTAAATCTCTTTACAGTATTGGGTTTGGGGTCTTTCTTTCTTTCCTGAGTGCTGAAGATCGTAAATTAGATATGCTGATTTTGGGGGAGTATTTCAGCATTTCAGGAAGGAGATGGAACCCTTGAAAAGCGATTGGGGAAATAAAGAAACAAAACTCGAAATGCAGAGGACAGTATCTCTTTTCATGCGTACTTATGATTTCAGGGGAGGAATGTGCTTTATAAATAGCACGTTTATTCTGTGGCTGTGGACGTGCGGGAGGCGTGGGGCCCGGCGCTGCGGGCGCTGCGCAGCCGGGGCTGGAGCGATGATGCGCTCGCGGTCCGTCCGTCCAGGTTCGCTTTGTGCGGGGCTGCGCGCACACGGAGCCCGCGCTCCCTGCCCTCTGTAATTAAAGAGAAGGGAGAAGGGCAACAGACGCCGGGTTCCGGCTCCAGAGCCGGGGCGGGGGAAGCGGGTCTCCCAGGAAACCGCCGTGGCGGGCGGGCGGCGCTCGCCCGTGTCGGGGCGGGGGGCGCGGGCGCTGCCGCCCGGCTCTGGCGGGCCCGGGGCGAGGGGCGGGGGCCGTGCCCAGCATGCCCCGCGGCGGGGCGGGGCCGGGCCATGCAAATGCGGGGCGGGGCGGCGGCGCGGAGGGCGCGGGCAGGTACGGCGGGCCGGGCCGGGCCGGGCCGGGCCCCCGCGCTGCCCCCGCGCCGCCCCCGCGGCCGCTGCGGCCCGGACACGGGGCCCGGGCGGGGCCGCTGCGGCTGGGGCCGCGCAGCCCGCGTGCTTTCGCGGTCGGAAATGTGCTTGGGCTTTAAGGGCGTCATTTTCCAGTTGCAAATATTGCTGATACCTAAGCGAAGGTGCTTTGCAGTCTCTGCTTTAAAGCGGTTCTCCTGTAAAAGGTAATTTTATGTTACAATCCTGATAGAGCTTGGCATCTTAGAACGTAGGCCTGTTCGTGTTTTAGACAATAGATCAGAAAGGATATGTAAAAGTACTTCTTCACCATACTTACTTGCAGCTATTGATTTATTTAACAGGAAACCCTGGTAATATCGCAGTAACACCTGCAATATGTACCATAAGATTGGATGAGATAACACTGAACATGTCACTCTATGCTAATTTAAATGGAGAAAATATGGCAGTATACAGTCGTGCAATTATCATATAATTACTATATTCGTCTGAAATGAGTACAGTGGATTTTAAATTTAAATTTATGAGGCAGTTAGGTACGTACAGTAAGTGCATACAGAGATAAAATTAACACTGTGCAGTAAAATAACAATAGGAGCATCCCTACATAACAGCATTCCCACAGTTACAAAGGAATCACAACTTTGAAATACACCTGTCTTGTCTATTTATATAGGGAGGAAACAAAAAACTCAAACGTTTTTCCTGTGGATCCGACTCTTCATGTTTTAAAACACTTCCAGTATCAAGTTTTTTAGGAAAGCTTAGAGAAAAAAAACCTGAAGAAAAAAGGTGTTTTGTGTTGCTACCAAGTTACGGTAATTTTAAGATATACTTTTCTTAACCCTATCTAAACTCTATTGAAAGTGTGGTTTGTGGAAACATTTTTTACTGCAACTTGAATGGTGGAGTCTCTTTAAGAATCATAAATAGAACCAAATCTTTATGTATGTAGCCGGCATTTTGGAGACAGACATGATTTTGATCTCTCATGTTACTGAAATTTTGTGTTAATTATACTGTCTTAATTTACTTCTGGATCTGAGGAGCCCACATCTGCTGTGCAATGTTTTGGTTTGAGGATGCAGTGTTTACTGTATATTGTAGTTTTTTGGTCTCCTTTGTTTATCAGAAATTTGCATTTATTGTAAAACATCTTGCTTTGAACAGATGCAGTAGTTGACTAAATGAAGTTTAAGTTCAGTATAAACTGAAGACATGTAAGTCATGGTTCAGAGTACACAGTGGCAAATGTTTGGAAATTAATTCCAAAACTTAAATATTTTCTCTGAGATAGCAACAGATGATTGTCTCATCTAAAACTTTTACTTGCTCGTAAAATGTATTTCTAAAAACCTTGAAGTTTAGAGTTGTTTTCCCTTTGAACAAGCAGGTGGAAAGACTGGCTGAAGCAAGGCAGCTATAATATATTGCAGCATTGGTAAAGATGTCTTAAAGATAATTTTACATGGAGTCTGTCAGTATCTCTTTTTGCCCTTGCTCTGAGCCAGATATGATGATGAGAAAAACTGGATTATAGATGTGCCCTTTCCTCAATAAAATATCCCCAAACACCATCGCATCTTTAAAATGCTGATGCTATTTGAAGTCCTACCAGTGAGTTTTGATCACTGTTGCTTCATTGTTCTTTTGCAGGCTTTTTTGACCCTGGAAAAGGGATTGAGTGTAGATAAAAGACAGATACGACCCATCTGTCTACGTACAGAAGCCAAAAATATTTACTAGGTTAAAACAGCACTGAGATAAATAGCATGTCTTTAATTTCTCCATCTCCCCACAGATATGGATACAATATTCTAATGAAACTTGTGATAAATGGGAGATGTGAGTAATTGATACCAGAAAGAAAAACCAAACTGGAAAATTCTGGCCTTTTTCTTCCTTCACATTTGCATATAATTCTCTCCTACAGCTCTAGTCTTATTCTCCACCCTACAAAAGAGGTTTGCATTTTTTGCACCTCTGCTTCAGTTTTCCATCACTTCATACAATTTTTCCACAAAAAAATAGGGAAAATGGGAAAAGGAGTAAAAGCTTGTATTGCCATAACAATTTGATGGAAAATTCACTAAATGCATACAACTGGACAACTTACATATTGTGAAATTAACAATAAAAGGAAGAGGAGCTGCTTGAGTTTTTTAAGGTTTTTCAATGCTTAAATGCAAAATTATAAGCAAGAATACTTCCTAAAAACAAGCATCCAAATGCATTGGACAATTTGCATTCAGGCTTTGGGATGAAAAGATAACATGGCTTTTGTTTAGTACTTCATAAAGAATTTCATGGAATATATAACTTGAAGTCCTGATTGATTTTGGAGCTGGTTTGTATCCTTCTCTTTCATAAGCAGTAGGGACTTGCATATTTATTCCATTGTCTAATGTGAAGTAGGAAATGTGGGCTGCGTAGTATAGAGCCTGACCCTCATCAGTCATTCTGAGGGATACGGGCAGGAACTACAACACCATTTACCGATTGTAGCTTCACCATCTCACGTAGTTGTTGGATTTTGATGAGGAAATGCGAGCAATGATACCATTATGTCGTTGAGGGCTGCAGAGTAAATAAGCCTCTGTGGTATTTGTAGCTCCCATTAGCATGCTGCCCCTTCATTACATTTGTTTATTCAATTCTGGCAAATAATTTCTGTGCATGCCGATAACTAAGTGATCCTTCCCGTCTGTGCTGCTAGGGGGGATGAAGGCTGCGTGCTGAGCCCGAGCTGTGGCCGCCTTCAGGTGCCGGGGCTGCCGCGCTGGCTCTGCGGCCACTGTGGCACAGCCAGGACAGCTCTGGAGGGGCAGGGTGACAGATCCCCCAGGCCCTGCTAGGGATCCCAGCTCGGGGAGAAGGCTTCCATTTCAAACACACCTCCCGGGCTGCTTGTGAGTGGGGTCAGGGCTGTGCGGTGTCTGTGGTGTGTCCCACCTGAGGAGCACCTGGCTGATCCTTCTGGGATGATGAAACAGGCCAACATGGTGCTGGCTTCAGCAGGAGCTTGGATTTTTTGAATAGGGATGTGAATTTGATGATGAACTGCTCAGTGATTTAAAATCTCTGTCACTATTGAACAAAGTCTGTTTTAAATGTATTGTGAATATGTTAAAAAGGAAGCTGGATTGCAAATGTTTTTAGTTGCACTTCCTAAGCGATAGCCATCTCTAGTAAATGCCATTTGTGCCATTACTAGATAGGGTGAACAAAAAAAATGTTGAAAGCCACAAAATGTATTTGTTAATTGTTTTTAGTGTGGATAACAAATGGTAGCATTGCTTACTTCCAACATGAACTGTGACAGCTGATCAGGCTTTTCCAAGCAAACGTTTTTGTCTTTTAAATATTTCATTTTTGGGGAGGAGGGAAACCCCACGATACAGGGGGGAATTGACTCGCAGGGTTGCCATTGTTTTGCTCTCTTGTTGTACGAGTCTTTGCTGAAGCATTCAGTTTCAGAATAGCTAGAGGTTTAACTTAGTAGCTTTCAATTAAGTTGCTCAGTTGTTTACTATTATGCCCTTCTCACCCACTCTTACTTCTG